ACACACACACACACACTTAAGGATTGACATCATAAAATTTTTATTTGTGTTTTATTATTTACTTACAGTATTTTTATTCATTATTTCATTTATCGAGTGACATAGAGCAAGAATGAAGACCACAACATTTACAGTCTTATTTCATACATAGCAAGGTTCATGCTCAAAAACTCCATATTAAAAACTTCAAGTCCAAATATGAGTTGAAACAGAAAATAAAACCATTTAGAGTGTCGAAAAAATTTAGTTGCTTTTTAAGAAGCTGAGTGTAAAGGGCAAGAGGAGACTGGAAAAGTTAGTGGATGGGGAAGACTATCCTGATGGATGTCAAAGGGATGGTTGATTTCAGAAGGACAACCTTCTAGGTAGAACAGGATGGAAAGTGAAGCCAATTGTTCTGTAGCCCAGCTTCAAACCTGGAAGATTAAACAAGGCTGAGAAGTGGCCAGACCGCTGAGGTCAAATACAAAGTACAAAGATTTTTCCAGGCAGCTCAGGTTCTAATGTTGGAAAGGATGTCAGGATATAAGACTGCGGGAACACAACCTGAGCCTGAAATATTATTCGAGATTATCTTGGGGCCAGCTCAGGCATAGAAACTTAGGCTATAAGGACAACCTCAAACAAAGAAGGCCCAAATTTAGCCAGTACACAAAAGACACAAGACATAGTTTCAATGAATTGGTAGCAGGGAAACTGCCACAGGGAAGACAGCAGAAAGGGGGGATTCGCACAGGAGTAAGCTAATCATCACACAGTAAAACAGTTGTCTGTGGAAGACTGGGGACTCCCATCGTTTTAAAGCATATTTCTATTATGAGTTAAAAGTGCAATAGAAATACATTTGACTTATGGAACATGAAACTCTGACAGAGTTCCTGGAGTAGCCAGCACAGGATCGGGACACCCAGTCACAGGAGAGGGTAGCTTGTGTACCAGAAAAAAAAACTCAGGATACACAATCTCAGGGCTAGCTAGCTTAAACGTATATTAAACGTACATTCTCAGTTTTGGGTACCTGCCACAGAGAAAACATGGAGCAGCTCAGCAATGTGTCAAAAAAGGACAGCAATGCTTCCACTAAATGCCACCACGAAATTCTACCACCCCCCACATTCAACCATAGCGGTGGAAACATTATAAATTGGGGGTGTTTTTCTGATAAGAAGATATGGTGTGTAGACACATTGGTTGAGTCTAGAGGGTTAAGGTCATGAAGTGTCTTAGCCACTCTCCAGAATAAGTTCTAGAGAAAATGTGGAGAAAGCTGAAACCTCTGAACCTAGATGAGTGAGGCAAAATCCCTCATGACATGTGTGCAAACCTGGTGACTGACTACATTGTACTACTGTGATTGCCAACAAGGGTTTTTTTCCACCAAGACCTAAGCCATGGGGATCAAATACTTTTTTCACTCAGTGACATGCAAATCAATGTATGACTTTTAAGTAATGTGTTTTCTGGATTGTAAGTTTGCTCACTTTATTTGGAAGAGAACAAACTTACAAATTCAGTAGTGATTCAAATAAGTATTTCCCCCAAAGTATATAAACTCTGTAGTATATCCTGAGTCTTCCCTGGGGCCTCTTTCTGAACATGCCTTTAACACCTCACCAAGGAGGCATCCTATTCAGATTCCTAAACCAATCAAACTGGCTCATTTCGATGTGGGTGAGAAGTAGCTCTAGGCTGAGTCCCTCTTGAATGACTATAATCCTCACCCAATCTCTAAAGGACAGCACAGCCCCCCTTTGGAGGAGACTCTTTTTCACCATTTGTATCTGCAGTCTCATTCTTTTGGTCAGGTAAGGGTCACAGCATAGATTGACTTGCAAAATCAACAGGTTTGCTGTGTTTCTCCACTCTCTTCATCACCAATGGAGTGTCACCATAGCTGCAGACATGACCCCAATCTGTCTATCACTAGTGATAGACAGGGTGAGTCCACACTCTTGAACAAGACCCCAAGATATTAACCCTTTAAGACCTACCATAGAACTAAGTCCGCCAGAGCTTATATTATATTTTTACATGCTGTAGTGCCATTGTTGGGAGCATTTCAAGTTGATATGCATCAATACAACCATTATAGCCCAAATTTTAATAATATGTCTGCATTAAGTGCATAATAATTACATAAATTACAAAAAAAATGCAATAAACTACAAAAAAATTGAAAATTGTTTTGGTTTTTTTTAACATATATTTGTAGTTAGAGAAATTTAAGAGGCTTATCCCTCAAAACT